CTTCTGTCACAACTTGGTCTTCAAGTTCAGCCTGTTAATGCACAACCTGCACATGTCTTTTACACCAACAGATCTGGGAATAACCGTGGCCGTGGACGTGATTCTAGACGCGGACGAGGAAACTACAACAACAGAAGTCAAGGAGGAGGTAACCGTAATCAATTTAGTTGGGCTTCTAATCAAAACACTGTTTTTGGCACATGCAACAGGTGTGGGATTGGTCATATCCCGTCTCATTGCCCCAATCGCGATCCTGCTCCTATGAGGATGAGACAACCACCTTCTGCCAACTTTACAAATTACCGGTCACAAGCTTGGCTTTCGGATACTGGCTCTAGCCATCATGTTGCACCGGACCTATCTAGCTTCGATAACTCTGAGGCCTACTACGGTGAGGACAACCTTCACGTTGGCAATGGTAAGGGTTTACCCATTCTACACATTGGTTCCTCACAACTTCATTCACCAAACAAAACATTTTCCCTTAAAGACATACTACACGTACCTGACATAAAACAAAACTTACTTTCTGTTCAAAAATTCTGTTTTGATAACCATGTGTACTTTGAATTTCACTCTACTTTCTTTGCTGTGAAGGACAAGTTCACACACACTATCCTCCTCACTGGTCCAAGTAATGGTGGTCTCTACTTCTTCCGTCTTCCTCAGCCTCAGCCTGTTCAGAAAATGTCGTTTTCTACCACACGTACCTCTTCCACCATATGGCACCAAAGACTTGGACATCCACATCCACAACTTTTGAAGTCCATGTTATCTAAATATCATTTACCTTTACAAAATAAGTGTGCTAGTACTTTTTGTGATTCATGTTCTGTTGGCAAATCATCTAAACTTCATTTGTTACCATCTACTTATAAAAGTTCGCACATTTTGGATTTGGTTTTCTGTGATGTATGGGGGCCCGCTCCTGTTCCTTCTTTTGATGGTCACAATTATTTTYTGTTGTGTGTTGATCATTACTCCAGATTTATGTGGATCTTTCCATTAAAATTAAAATCTGATGTTTATGCCACTTTTAAACGATTCCTCGCGATGGTTGAAAGACATTTTCAAACCAAACTGAAATCTGTCCAAACCGACTGGGGAGACGAGTTTCGAAATCTCTCCCAATTCTTCTCTCCTCTCGGCATCACCCATCGCCTCTCATGTCCCCATACAAGCGAACAAAATGGCTTTGTTGAACGACGACATCGACATGTTGTTGAAACCGGTCTTACTTTACTTGCTCAATCCCATGTTCCACAACGGTTTTGGCATTTTGCTTTTGACACAGCAGTCTATCTTATTAATCGAATGCCATCCAGAACCAACTCAAACACCTCACCATTTGAACATGTGTTCAAACACAAACCCGATTTTTCCTTTCTTCGGGTTTTTGGATGCCAATGCTACCCTCATCTCCGTCCATACAATAAACATAAAATTGACTTCCGCTCTACATCTTGTGTGTTYCTTGGTTACAGCACCGCTCATCATGGCTATCGGTGTTACGACCCACAGTCTGATCGTCTTTACGTGGCCCGTCATGTTCGATTTAA